TGCCGCCTACAAATGCTAATGGATTCCAGATTGGCATCTGATTTAAGTCCTGGCCTTGCAATTATTATTGGCTGCAAAGACAAGATCTTGCGGAGACAAAAGCAGGACAGTCTTTGCCTTGAGCTGGATCAAGGGCTACTCATAGGCACTGCTCCATCACGCCCCAGAACCAAAAGAAGTGCCTGGGCCAAGTCTTGCTGTGAGGTGCAATCACAGAAAACATCGTCTTCTCATCAAAGTTTCCGCCATGCTGAGGATATTTTATATTCGAAAGTTCTCCACCCATTTACGGATGTATTTTGCTTTTTTGCATACGCGCTCCAAGACCTTACGACGATCGCTTGCACAATAGCAAGATGGATGGGCTCTACGGATGCCAATTCACCGGCTCGCCCAGCGGTAGTAATTATTCTTGCGTTTCCAGTCATGAAAACAGCTGCGGGAAGAGCTTTTCACGGCGCCTTTAGTCGGGAAACAAATTTGAGGTTTAGTAACGCCTTCTCGGGCGTAAGCTTCCGTAACATACAAAGCCGAAAACAATACTCTCAATTGCGATCTTACCTCCTAGAAGCCTCCAAAGAGACCTTGGCCGTTCGAAAGGAATTTCTTATCGCTTTCTCGTCGAAACACTTTGCGAGTCTTTTTGAGATTGCTTTTGAGGAGATCTCTAAAGGTAAGGATAGTAGGTTCGATTTGGTCAAGGCGTCAAGACAAAAGGCTCCCGTCGTTTCAAATTTGAGTCATCACTTGGGACATTTTACAGACCTGTTCAGTGAAAGGCAGGAATTAATAGGCTTTGCCGCGAAGTCAATTGCATCTTGCCTAATACTTGATCACTACTTCGCGGATATGCATTTGTTTGAACCTCTCACGGTCTTTAACACCCTATACAAGGACGCATGTCTAAATATCGGACGAGACGCTTCAAAGGACAGCTGGGTTCACGATGGTTCCTTGTTAGGTTCTGTGGTTGCCAGAATCTCTGAATACTTTGCTGAGATTTTCAAGGAACTGGCAGAGGGTGCCAATGCTGTGGCTATACATCGCAGAATCTATCAAGATTTCCAGCCTTATTGGCTGAAACTGAAAAGTAACAGAACTTGCCTCGCCTGCCTCACGAGACCGCCAGAACACTATCTCTCATGCGGTCACAGTGTGTGTAGTCGCTGCGTGGAGAACTTTGGTACCAGCTACGCGAATGACCACTTACTCTATCTTTACAAGGAATGCCTCCTATGCCAAGCGGTCGTGGATTTTACACTTCGTGCATCTCCGCCGACTGCAGGTATCAAGATATTGAACGTGGATGGTGGAGGAGTCAGAGGCATAGTCTCCTTAGACATTTTAGAGAGGATTATGGATAAGGTCGATCTCCCAATCCCTATCCAAGAACATTTCCATCTAGCGTACGGTATTAGCGCAGGTACGTTGTTTCTCGCGATCAAGAAGACGGCACTGACCTTTTCCTAGGAAGTCTTATTGTAGGAGCTTTATTTATTAATGGGTGGTCTGTATCAAAGTGCAAAAAAGTCTTTGAGGATCTGGCGCGTATTGCATTCAAGCCACGCCGTTGGAGCATATTTCCATTCCGTGCAATACAGAAAATAGCAGCCGTAATTGCATACGACAGTATATATCCATCTAGAAACATGGAGGTCGCTCTTCAAAACGTTTTTGGAGGGAAAAGGCTTCAAGATGTTTCCTACGCAAACAAGATCGGCGCAAAAGTCGGGATCGTTGCTGCAACTGTCACAAAGCCATCGATATTTCTGTTTACGAACTACAATGGCGGCATGAATGAAGACGAAAGCTCAGGTAAAGACTTTATAGAAAAAAAGTTCACTGGAATCTTTCTCACCTTTTCAGGGTATACTCTTCCGACAAACTGTGAGAACGTTGACTTTTGGGAGATGTGAGTAAATCGCCTTCCTTGTACTCTCGTCATTGACTCTTTATAGTGCCAGGAGCAGCACTGCAGCTCCAGTGTAGGTTATAAGTCAAACCCCCCACTTCCTGGCACCCCCCTGTTTCTGGCACCCACAAAAACGATGGGATCACAACCCAACCTCCTCATTACTATTAACTATTGATCCTCAACCACACCCACTACAATACAACTGCCAGCCTCACTAGGGCATTCAGAGTCGCTGGATTCAGCCGTAATAACCTCCTTTTCACCCGCTTCGATTTGAGCCCGATGGATATCCCTGATGTTCGCAAACTTCGTGTTGGGATCGATCTGAACAGTCTTCCTCTTCCTAACTGCAGCGTTGGTAACTTGAGCCCTCAGGTGAGCCAGCTGCTGCTGGGCAGCTGCCAGTTGCCAGGCCTGCTCTGTGAAGCCTTTTTTCACCTTCCTGAACAGCAGCCGTTGAGTGCTGGTATCATTGTCGAGTTGGGTGTATAAGTGCAGTTGACCGCTGAGCTCTGCCAGCTTCCTGGGTGTCGACCAGACCACTGCAGAGGAAGCAGAATCCCATGGCTCAACAGGGGTAGTTTGTTGACCATTATGGCATCGCTTTTGCCCCGACTGGTTGGTTTGGGTGTGGTGGGCTTAGCAGAAGGCTCAGGTAATACCATAGGGTTCATCAGGGGCTTAACCATCGCTACAGGGTGTAGACCAGTCCACTTCCAACCACTTCTGATGTTCGAGACTGATAGACCAGCAAGTCGAGCCTTCTGGTAACAGTCCAGGAAGTTCCTTTTACCTATAATGGTAGAGTCGTTCCATTGAGACAAGTAACCGAGCTCCTTCCGATAGGCTGACTTAACAGGGCTGAAGACAGACTGGTCAAGTGGCTGGAGGACATGAGAGGAGTGTGGTGGTAAGAACAGTAAATGGATATTGTTAATATAGCAATTCCACATGAAGTCTGTCGTCGTATGACTCCCATGCCCATCCACAATCAACAGTCGAGCCTCGCCCTCAGCCTCGGGCATAGTCTGTGGGATAAACACCTTCTCTAACCATTCAATGGCAGTTAAGTCTGTAGTCCAGCCATTATCTGTTGCTGTAAACTCCACCCATCGTATGGAACCAGATGTAATGGAAACCACTGTTGTTGGACCGTCTTCCCTTGAAAATGATAAGAGGACGAAGTGCCCTACCCAAGGCTGAGATACACTCAATGATAGAGACCCATGCCCTCGACCCAGGTTGTTTCTTGCGAACAGACGTCGTCTCAGCCATGCCCAGCACTAACCCATTAGCTCCCTGACCCTCGAGGATGCCAGTCTCATCCATATTATATCTGTTGGCTGGTTTGATGTCCTTGATCTCAGGGATAGCAAGGAACTTAAACCAGTTCCTAATGACCTCAGTAGATGCCCCATTAACGCGTCTAGAATCGATGGAACGACTTCTCTGAACCTTAATGATAGGGTTCCTTCTCACGAAGCATAGATCCAGCCTTTTCCTAATGGTTTGGTATCCCCAGCAGCAGCCAGAACTCGCTCTGCGAATTCCTTCACCTGTTGGTGCGTTGGTGCGAGGCCCAGCGAAGCCTGAATGCGAACCCATTGTGCCAGCTTACTCTCCTGGTCAGGAGACAGCCTCTGCCAGTCAGCAAAAGCCACTTTCCTAGTCTGACCACCTTGGAGACGTAGTTGGAGGGTTGATCGTGGTATCCCATACTCCAATGAGGCTCTCTTTTGACTCTTGCCGTTTGAGATGTCCTCGAGAGCCTGACGAAGCTGATCTTCGGTATATTGAGGCATTAGATATAGAAGAAGGTATGTGCAAAAAATGAGCCCATTTGGACTCGAATTGAAAATGTTGTGATAAAAGGAGGTTGGGGGTGGGCATTGCGTTGTGGTGGATTTTCGCGTTTTTGTGGGTGCCAGAAACAGGGGGGTGCCGGGAAGTGGGGGGTTTGACTTAATCCACGTTCGTGAGTCGCATAGGCTTACCGACTTCAGCTTTTTCCCCCCCCACCATATTGACGGCCTTGGATCTTTTCAAGATCCCGGTATCTCGTCTAATAACCCTAGTTTCTATTCAATCTCGGAAATGCATCGGCTTTATCCAGACTTGACCGATCCTGATTTGTTACTGAATATCGGCAATATGTCTCTCTCGGAAACTAAGAGTATTGCTCAGAAGGCAAAAGGTTGGCTTCAAAGTACATGCATTCCCCGGCTCGGCAGAGCTTTCATGACCATCATAAGCGGCGATACCATATGGAATAACTTCATCTCACAGAAGAAAAAGCATTTAAGGCACAGATATCGACGATTAGATGTGAAATTCCATGGGTCCGAGCCGGGACTTGACGATGTAGCTTGCATGCCGCTACTGAAATCGGTTGTGGAAACAGACAAGAATCTTTTACAGGAGATTGAAGAAATTGCCCACAGAATTGTTTCCTGCCTTTTCTACTTCGAACTCACTCAGATTCCAGACGGAAACGTCGAAGGCAAGATTTTGTGTGTAAGGAAAGCAGTAGATCCTGCGTTGACTGCAATTTACGATAGACTGCGCAGAAACCAAGCAACGTTCATCATCAATAACAATACTGTCGAATTTCGTGAAGAATGCAACATCGATCTATCCGGAAACTTTGAGGTGGTTGTCAAATTGCCTCGTACAGACAAAGTATCAATTTTACTCCAGGAGGCTCAATCTGAGGCTTTCCACATTAGCGGATCTCCCTTTCGAACAGACGACCTCATCGAAAAACAAGGTTTGAGGGCATTCTTCGGCACTGGCCGTCACAAAAGGACTAGAACTGCCTCATGTCTCTCTCAACGACCATCAAAGAAGAGGAAAATTACTTGAAAGAAGATCACAATTCCGTAGCATAGCGATGTTAGTTTCTTCCCTTACTTCTTTCAATGAGGATAGAAACTCCAAGATACATGCAGCTGCTCTCCATGTGTATGCCAAGAGTGCACAGGCCACAACCTGCGGGGAGACAGGTTGCGATCCGTGCACACAGGAGCTGGGATTACGGAGTAATCGCACTCCGTACTCCGTACATGGACGAAAACATCTCAACACTTTTGCCAATATTCCCACCTGCATGGCTTCTTTACTTCTTAGCCCATTCGCTTGGAAGCAATGTATTTATCAGTTCAATAAGAAAAATTGACCGAAGCTAGTCCTGATCTTCTAAGTATATCCTCCTGCCTTCTAAGTAGTATATTCCAATGATCATGTTCAGTGGTATAGTCACAGTCGGTGAGCTCTGTCAGGCGTGTTCCCACCTGAGCGCCCAAGGTGGGGCGGTATGGCGGTCCCTTTTGTCGGCTCGCTGAATGTTCCGCTCCGAAAACTTTCCACCTCCGTACTCATGCATTCGCAGCCCTTACTTAAGGTCGGGAATTGAAGATGACAACGGGGCAGAGTTTCAACAACGGTCACCTCCGAGCCCACGAATCGACATGACGACACTCCCCACCACGATCGAAGCGGCCCTCGAGAAAGAAGGCAACGTCATCAATCAAGTCTCTTACGGGATTGCGACTGCAAAGCTCTGCGATGAGCTTTGGGAACACAGAGATCGAGTAGAAGCTCTCGTTCGACATCACATGGCTCTGGGAAAGCAAGATAAATGCATCGTGTTGTCGCCGGACCACTGGATTCGAGGTGGCTTTAATGTCTGCGTCATGGTCGACGTGCTATCCAAAAGCTCGTCTAGGAGAGTAGTCTTTCGTTGTCCAATGCCACACAAACTCGCCGAACTCAAGTATCCTGGTAGCGTAGACGAGAAGTTAAGCTGTGAAGTGGGAGCGCATGCATGGATTGAAGCGAAGTGCCCGGAGATTCGCACGCCACACCTTTTTGGATTTGGTCTGTTAGATGGTCGCCATGTAAGTCTCCTCCGTCGGCAGCTGTAGGCCATCGCTAATCGATCAGTTCACCCACGCAACACACATGCCGATTCTTCCTCGCGTCGTCCGATACTGCTGGCACTTGATCCACGACCTGCTCGGACTTCCTTTGCTTTCCTACTACATCTACAACCAACCAGAGCAGCAGCTACACTCAGCATATATGCTATTAGAATATCTTGGTTCTGAGACGGGGCGGATGCTTTCAGACACATTTGATATATATCGAGGCGATGGGGCGCGGAGGCGCAGATTATTCCAAGGAGTTTCGAGGACAATGCTTTCTCTCGCGCGTATCCCGCAGATGCGGATTGGTTCGTTCCGATTCAATCAAAACGGCACAGTCACGCTGACGAATCGACCGCTATCCTGCTCAATGATGATACTGGAGAACGACGACGGGACTAGGACAGTCCAGAAGGACGAGACCTTTGGGTGTACCGACGCCTATGTATCCGATATGCTTGCATTTCACGACCAACGGTTTCTTAGCCAGCCAAACGCTGTCTACAGCGAGGATGATTGCCGTGAGCAGATGGCTGTCAAGACGCTACTCAGAGTATTATCCCGCGATTTCATCAAGAGAGAACTCCGAAACGGTCCTTTTCCACTCCAGCTTACTGACTTCCACGCGAGCAATATCCTGGTCGATGAACAGTGGAATGTCACTGGCTTGATAGACTTGGAGTGGATATGTGCGCTTCCATCAGAGATGGTCACCGTGCCGTACTGGGTGACCGGCTGTGCTATTGACACAATTGAAGGCGAGAGCTTCAAACACTTTGACGTAGTCCGACAAGAGTTCATGGAAATCTTTCGCAAGGAGGAGCAGGCCACGAAAGCTCCGCCCAGCCACTATATCAACCTCTCTAAAATCATGCAGGACATGTGGAAATCGAAGGGGGTGTGGTTTTGGTATTGCCTATCTTCGGTGAATGCGATGTATTTCCTTCTTAGGGCTCATCTAGTACCACCGACATTCCTCTCTTCAGAAGCGGAAAGGGTTCTTTCAACGTTCTGGTCTCGAAATTCGGAGGAGGTTGTTCGAATGAAACTCGCACATAGGGGAGAGTACGAAAAGGAGCTTCGGCAGTTGTTCCATGATGGATAATCGAGGAAGAAGTTCCGGATTCCGTTTGCAAGCGAGCCTAGCAGATGCGGGTGGGTTTCGTCTTCAACGCTAGCCTAATCGCCGCGGCGCGAAGATTCCCCGTCGTCATCCCTTCTTCTCTGCATTCTCCTTCTCCTGCTGTTCCCTCTGTCGCCTGTTGTCGCGTCTTGTCTTTTGGGCACTCTGACCTGAGGAGATCAGGCTAGCCACCTTACTGGCAGGAATGTTGACGGCGACGTTTGCATCCTCAACAACACCGTTGTATTCTCCCGAAGAATGACCATCCTTCTCCTTCTCAGGCATTTTGTTCTTCGCCCGGGGGATGTAGTATTGTTCTTGTTTTGAAATAAGTACTGTAAAGTAGAAAGATCAGATTTAGGAAGGCTCGAAAGGGTTACTGGCACTTGTAACAAGAAAGTGGTTTGTAGCTGGCTAAGAACCCGATTGCTGCGGGGTTATCAGGTGACGAAGCGTCCACCTGCTGCCCAATTGCGCCATTTTTCCAAGGCAGTCTCACTTTCATGGCTACACGTCAATAAGACCCAACTACTGCCCATTCACGATCGGGGGGAACTCAGCTCCTCATCTTGTTTTGATGAGGTGTCTGTCGGTTACAGTACCGCACGTATTTTATACAAAGTATTCCTGACCATTACTCTACTTTCCCAAGGACTAGGAGATCGTGCCCTGACCCCACCTACTGGCGACTACCGGGCCACGTCCATGTAATTTGCCGCTGTCTCGTTTGTACTCCCCTCGAATGACCAGCTAGTCTACAGGGTCATCCATACACGGCGGCGTTCACAACTGTCTATAGAGGACCCTCTTCGATGTAAGTATGCCGAGTCTTGCCGCCGTGATCTTTAGAACATCAGTGCTTCTGGCAGCCGCGATTCGCTTGTCATCGAAGCACTTCTTGGCCTGTATTTGCCTCAGCAAGCAATGTGAAAAAGCATTGAGGAGTTGCATGAGCATACTAAATGTCTCGGCTAACGGAGGTTCACATGTCCTGTGCAATGATTAATCACGTCGTCTCGGCACTAAGGAACTCGGCCTTGTAATGTCCGAAGGGGTTGGGCAGTCTCGGCAGTACTCAATGGGCGGCTCGGGCGGGTACAGAAGCCACATCGACTGCCCGCATTTCTTAATGCGCGCGTGTGGCCTGGTGCACTCAATCCTTTGGTCCGATTTAGCGCCGTGAGAAGTGGATTGCGGCATATGACCGGGGTCCGATTAATCACATCATTTATCCTTGCATCGGCGCCTATTGCCTGCGCCTTGTGCCCAAAGCAGAAGAGGCAGTACCTATCTAAGTACCTTGTTATCGCAGAAACTTAATTCTTGTGGGTCACAAATACAGGCAGTACCTATCCATACCGTCAGGGATCCTATTACTGAACTCCGGTTGGAGGGGGATAGTTCGGACATAGGGTGATAGCGGATCCCGGATAGCAAAAGTAAAGGTACTTATGCAACTAGCCGGTGTTTCATCGTTGACCTTGCAGAGTGTGGCTCTTATGTACTCCGTACGGACTCGAATTGATTGGGTGCGAAGGTGACATAGAACGCTCTGGCCCAAGTCCATGAACTTCCCTAGTATCCGTACTCCGCACCTCTTTGAGAAAGGCGTTGCCAGGATATAAGAGAGGGCCCCTGCACCGCATGCGGGTTTATCACACATATCACATTGTGGAGCCGCTAGCACTCTAGCTCCCAGACTGTCGGGACCAGCCGTCTAAATGAGGACGATCAGACACTCTATTTCTGCTACCATCCATGGGGTACTTTTGCCCAACACCACGCACCAACATGCCTAAACCAAGTACGACTAACTTCGCTTAGAAAAGACAGATCAACTCTTGATATCCGAGGTTCTTGGTTAGACGCGTAATGTGGCACATACGCGGTTTGTGTCATTTCTCGGCATATACGAAGTCCTACGAGTGCCGACTCTAATCGCTGACGAAAGTTACTCTGGGGTCCCTAAGGAGTCTAGTTCGTGACATAATGAGCGACAATCAGGCCTTGGATTGAAGATCTCGCAACCTCGATACGAATCTCTGCATACCTTGCCTTTCTTCCTGAACTTGGATCGGCGGACATTAGTCTCCGATGGTTTTGCTGGAGAAGGAAAGCGTTTGATGCCCCAGGACGCTTCTCGGCATCGCCATTTAGATGCCTCGTCAATCATTCTGACTGATGTGAGACGAACTTAGAAAAGAATGAGGGCTATCTCGAAAGACTTAGGTCAGTGATAAGGTCGTTCTGTGATTCCTTCGTGACAGGGGTAGTGCTCGGGACCGCACTTCTCATTGGTCCCGACCAACACGCTGGCTGCCACAGTGATAAGCCTTTTCCATGCAATCACAAAGGACATCATACAGACACGACTTGGAAGTTAGGAGTGATGTTGTTTCATTGGCTTCAGCGACAGTACGTGTGACTGGAATAGAATCAACAGTCTACCAAAGCTTACACCTAGGCCTGAAAGCTTTTGCCACCACCGCGAATGTCCTGAGTTTGGGCTCGCTCCTGTCAATCTGCTGTTCGCCGTTCACTCCGACCTCCATCAAGAAGTCAAGGGTCTCTTCCGTCGACATGGGAAACCATGGTGCAAAGTAAAGAGGCGTCCGATCACAAGGACTCGTGACAGTGGTCCCAGCCTCATCGAATTGCACTAGGCTCGAGATCACTCGTCGGAGACTGGTGATAGATGCGTTATAGGCTCTGCTCGAGCCCTCAGGCTCCGGAGACATAAGAATTTCCGCAGGCTGCTTTGATAAACACCGTACCAGTAACCATACCAGACTATCTATCAGCTCCTTGTCGTGATGCCCGCTACTCAAGAGGAAAGAGATGACTTTTTCGCGGCCTAAGAGAACAGCAAGCTGGAAGGCCGAAAGAAGCTGCGTGCACTGAAAGCTCATAGCGTACAGCAGATCATTCAGTTGACAAGGAACGGTATCGAGCCAAGATTGACCAAGGAAGCAGTCATAGGGCAATCTCCTCTGAAAATCAAAATGTGACTGCTGTGCTCTCTCAAGCACGCAGAGAGAAATGAAGTCGTCATTGCACTCAGAGATTGCCCAAGCAACAGACCGAGGAATAATGGATTTGGAGTCCATTCTGTAAAGCATTGGCATGCAAATATTGTGAAAACTCCGATTGCAAAGAGCAAGAGATCGTATTGTTTCTTGGTCGCAATATACCATAGTTATGGTAATTATTTCGGGTGGAAAATACATTGAAAAGGACAGATTTGAGTGGTAAGAGAGATTGAGTGGATTTGGAAGCTCGTGATCCTCGCTACTAGGCAGGCCGAACTCAAGGTGAAGCCACTTATAGGCACTTGAGCTCTAGCATGAACCCACCCTTTTCCATCTCAACCTCTTTACATCACTCTGGCCTTCGTCAGAACCCCAAATCTACTGATGTATTCGTAAGCTCGTCGCGGCTTGCCAAGTTGTTTACGTGGCCATCGATGTCATTCCAAGCGTGAAGCGGAACATATTTCTGCAACCTTCCTATTCAAATACAGTATGCCACGCGTCTCGGTCGTAAGCCTTGTACACTTCGATTCGTCAGCCATCCCATGTATCCGCTTATTCATTATGCATCCTAGTCTCATAAGGGTTATTTAAAAACCAACTTTGGTTCCAACTTAATAACACCTTACGTCGTTATATATTTGTTCACAGCATCCCATTTTGTACAGAGACGTCGTCATCAATGAACAACTTCCCGCGCTACATTTCCAAGAATCTGTCTGACTACAGCCACATGCCCAATATGTCAACTGCCGGCTTATACGTTTTGATTTTCTTCCTCCTACCTCTTGTCATCACCTGTCTCTCTCTTGCTTGCCACTTCCGTAACCAGGCTTCTCGAACAAACGAGCCGAAAGAACCGATCACGCCGCCCTACTGGGTTCGAGGAGCAAGTCATCTTTGCTCGATTCTCTTTGACACTGAATCGTTTCTTCGGCGTCTGCAGTAAGAAGTCTCCCGGAGAGCTTTTGGTTACTTTCTTACCGAAACAGGTCCCGGTGTCAATATTCTATCATCTCTCTGTCATCAGCTGTACCTGTGTACTTCGCGTTCCCGGGAGAGGCAACAAAGGATTTATTCAGGTCCTCAAGAGATCTCGTTCCAGCTCCTAGTCTCCTAGATGCCTTAACGGTATTCTTTGGACTGACCTCAGACCGTGAGATTTTTCAACACGACAATATTTCAGCCTTCGAAATACCCCTGGGTGAACACACAAGTCATCCAGATCCATCACGGCGAATTATGGAACATCAACGAAAGGATTTTGCCACATACCTGAACGGAGAGCATCTTGGGTCGGTGATGACTACCTTTACTGATATTTTCACTAAGAGTCTTTGGCCCGAAGCCGACGAATCTCGTGGAGCAATTGCTCTACCAGATCTATATTTGTTCATAAGGAACAGAATCTTTCGGGCCGAAGTGGAGGCTCTATATGGCGAGCATATCTTCTCCATTTGCCCGTCATTGTGCGATGACTTCTGGGCTTTCTATGATGCATTTCCGGTCATTTCGCGCCAATTGCCCCAATGGCTCTTTCCGGCACATTACAGCACGAGAAGAAAGATGCTGCTAAACCTCCACATCTGGCGGACCTGGTGCAACTCAGCTTCCGAGAGAACCTCCAACGATGGCCTCATTTGGGGAACTTCTTATATACGTCGGATGGTCCAACGTCATGAAGACCTGGGGTTTTCAGACGATGGTATCTCGAGTGTCATGTTGGGGTACCTGTTTGTGTAAAACCTCCTACGCCAAATTAAACTAGATCAGTGGCTTATCGATTATAGAACGACTTCGAACACGGTTCCAGCTACAGCCTGGATGATCCTACACGTCTTTCTCGACCAATCCCTGACCGCTAGACTCAGGCATGAGCTATATCTAAACCCACAGAATTCTGTACAGACGATATTACTCGAGCTGGGCCGTGCGCCTCTCGTCAATTCCGTCTACAGAGAGGTTTTGCGGCTTCATGTCGCAGGCACTGTTGGCCGTAAATCATACAAGGGAAAGTTTAGCTTTCCTAGCGGCTTGCAAATACTGGCGGGGATTCCCCTCATGTCTGCCAACTGGCTCGGAGGCCTGGATTCGTCTTTTTGGAACACGGGGAGGCTGATCGACGGATTTTCAGAGTATCCAGTCGAAAACTTCTGGGCTGAACGGTTTCTGAAATATCCTGGTGATCCCATGAGTGGACCAGTCCGATCGGCAACCAAGTACGAACACCTGGTAGGAGGGCGTACTGGGCAGAAGACTGCACAAGACGATTCCAATGCCAGACTAGTAACCTCTGGAATTCGAGAACACTGGTTTCCATTTGGAGGAGGAGCTTGGAAATGCCCAGGAGAGACTTTGGCCACCAGCACAATCCTCCTATCTTTCTTCATTGTCCTCCGCGAGCTAGATATAGAGTTTTTGGATCACAAGCAAGCTTCAAGAGTTCGGACAGGGCATAGGACTTTGCCATTTGGATCGCATGCATTTAGCAAGCCCGTGGCAGTTCGAATCAAGAGACGGCTGAGAGAAGAGTGATGCATCACGTTGAGGGGGCGAAGAGCTTCAATATGAGCACTTAATCTATCAAACCCTATCTTACAAGATCTACAAACCGTGTCCCGCTATGAATAGCTACTCCACCATAACAAGTAAAGTCCTCATAGTGCTAGCACACGAGGGCAATCACGTCAGCCAACGAGCGAGCTTGGAATTCGATTCGAAGATGCATATTCTATATCCCGAAAGCTGACACGTTTACTCTCGAATTATCGGCCCCTTTGGAGCTCGGCAGAGTACTAACCTATAAAACCATCGTCGCGCCCGAACAAACTGCCGACTTTACTCATGTTTTGTTCCATCCCAGATCTACACAATCATTCTGTTATACACGAGATCACAGAATGCCTTCCTCTCTTCCTCGTCATGGGGAAGTCCAGCACAATGGAGTCGAGATGGTCGCCACCAACGGTCCCATCGGTCTTCAGCCGTTGACGTCCGGAATCCGATTGCATCCGCGGGATCGGAAACCCATGGCAAAAGCTTACGATACGTGTTTGATACTGTTCCTCGAGTTCTACACGTAAGAAAACTCCGGGCGACCTGAACCTTTAATGCTGACTTATGCCTAAGAACCACTATAAGCACCGCTGGGGTGTGACTTCCTGATCGCAGCTGGACAAAGACTACCATGCTAACAACGTAAATTGAAAGGCATCCGTCGCAGAGAGGGCCATATACGAACTTGAAATCAGCCCACTCTTGGCAACGTTTGCCTTTGTATCAAGGTGTGTTTTGAGGCACGATAGTCTCCCCCTCACTGACAAGTGTGGCAGCTACCTGATCGGACAGAGTATTGGGGGTGTGATCTTCCCCCCATTTTCAGAATCCTTTGGTCGTAAGAACCTCTACATTATCAGTACTGGGCTTTTTAGTCTATGTTGTCTGGTAGTCGCCGTCTCAGCCGCTACTCCTAGCATCATTATAGGACGGTTCTTCACCGGGCTTTTCTCCTCTATTCCTACAATTGTGACCACAGGGAGCATAGAAGATCTATGGGATACGCGCGCTAGAGTATGGTGGGTTTTCCTATGGGTGCTGGTGGCCAACATTGGCCTCTTGGCTGGGCCCATCATCAGTGATGCCGTCATAGGGCACGCTCGCTGGTAAGAAGGAGAACATGAAAGCGTCCCCTAGCTCCGCTAAAACAACGTTACAGGAACTGGGTCTTCTACACAGCCGCAATCGTCACTGCTTGCGTGGCCGTTCTCCTTGTCACCATTACGGAGTCGCGGCCGTCGGTTGTCTTGGCTACGACAGCCGCTAACGCAAGAAGAGAATCTCAACACCAGACCTTGGTAACAAGATTATTTGGCCAGCGAGAGCCCTTCGACGTCCTGCGGCCTCTCCGATTACTGTTCACTGAGCCCATCGTGTTTATGGTCTCTATCACGACTGCTGTTTCGTTTGGAATAATCTACTTATTCACCCAGGTCCTTCCAATTGTGTATCATACTTCAGGTCTCAATGGGAGCCCGAAAAATGTCCAATTCCTCGCCATTATCCTCGGCACGCTGCTCAGCATTCTAACACGTGGCTATGATCTCTGTGTACTCACTCGTCGATCCGCACAGAATTTACCGATCACTCCAGAGAACAAGTTGGCTGGGTTTTTGATTGGAGCACCGCTTCTGTCTATAAGCCTCTGGTGGTTTGCCTGGACAATTCCTCCATTCGCCTACCTACACTGGGCCATTCCAACATCAGCCTTGGTTCTAACCGGTTACGCTTTGAACGAATTCAACTACGTGCTAGCTGGTTATCTCACAGACTGCTATGAACAATATGCAGCGAGCAGTGTTGGGGCTATGGCAATAACGCGGTCGGTGTTTTCTGCGGCATTTCCTTTACTTGGAAAAGGTCTATTTCAAACACTCGGATTCAACTTGGCCACTACTGTTCTTGCTGCTGTTGCATCAGTACTTTGCATCATCCCCCCCCTCCTCCTTCGGTATGGGAGGAAGTTTAGGGAAAAGAGCGTCTTGGCACGAGGTTAAGTAAGTTAGCGAGACTCTTGCAGAAAGTACTTTGAGGTCGGTACCCAGCTAGAGCCTCGATACAGCAAAGAAATTATATTATGACTTAAACCTATCAAAGTTCTGTCACAGAAAACTGAATTTAGATTGTCTGTCGACTTTCTGATTTAAGCTGCAAGCAGTACGCCGCCTCGGGTCTCTCAGAATCCAGAACGTAGACGACATGCCACAAAGGTTCTCAGCAGCGAATGTAAGGTAGCTTATATCACGAGGGAAAGGAGCACAAAAATAGTACTAAAGGTGCAGGACCCTAAAAATAGACAGCCAACTTCACACCCAGCGTTGAGTAAGATTCCGTTTCTTTTTTCAAGTAGCTTAGAGCGCCTCCGCAAAACCGATAAGTTCGAATAAGGCCATCCATTCGCTATGAAAGGCAAAATCAAATCATGCAAACACTTTGCCTCCAAGGGGTAGTTTTGGGCACCGGCCTGAAGACGGAATGTCTCGCCTCGGGCAACCCTACAAGATAGCTAGTCTGATACAAACGAAGAATGAATCATTTGCCGTCCATAACTACCGGCCTAGCTGATGGTTGGCTTTGCCTAAACAAGTTGAAGACGACAATCCTTGAAGTAAAGTGTAATGAACGAGGGTCGAGTGCTATTATGATCCTTATCGGATGATCGGATGTAACCTTTTTGCATTAGTCTTTGAATCGTCGTCAGCTTCCCAACCTGAGGAGCAAATAGCTAGGCGGTGTCAAAATGGTCCATGCTATATTAGGTATACAAACTTACTGGTGCCGTCGCTCTGATTGAACCTTGTAACCTGCTACATAGATGTTATTTTGGTACCTAAGTAGACAGCGCAAAGAACTCGCGGAGTAATGTATTCGCTATCAATAAAGGAGACATGGAAGTTTCGAGCATGCTTTTGTTAACAGCGTTGTACAACGCACAGCGTGTCTGTCATATCCGCAAGGGAGCATAGTCCTCTTTTCCCCCACCGACGGAGCCAACGACCATGACGTGATACCCAGTCGAGATCATATCTCAAGACCATTTAAGCATCTCGGGGATCTCTGAGCACGTGAAGGTCCTGCTTTGTTCCCGCAGAGGGCACTGTGAGGAGTCGCAGATCGCTGGGAGATCCTTAGGTTTCAGCGTGCTCAGGAACATAATGAATTTGATGTATGCGAAACAAGGTAATGTGACTCAAGCTGGTAGTGCTAGGAGAAGGAGATAAAGAGCGACGCAGAAGGAACGAAGAATGATTGCTCTGGAAAAGTAAGGGGTACTGGAGAACCCTGGGAGAAGATAGACGACTTCTGAACAGAGCAATACGCCGTATACGGGAATCAACTGCTCTGGAAACGCTTGTTGGGCAGCTCTGTTGGAAGTTTGGTAGCGTGCTGACATCGAGACGATCTAGTGGACTCCTTCGGCAAGGGCAAACCAGTGAATTGGGTCATACTAACCAATAGAAGCACGTATTCAAGACCGCCTTGACCGACAACAGACGAATAGCACGGTAGTCCACTCATCCATCTAGTGGCACTAGGCAATTGAGAGCCACATTGTGAACGAGTCCAATAGCAACACCTGCGCAGCCGTAAGGCCATGGACCGCAGAATACGTATTTCATCAGGAAGAGCTACATTGCCCTCAGCAAGACGCTAGGCTAAAAGTTCTTAGGGAGAGAAGTCAGGAACCTTTCGCCTCAGCAGATCAATCATGGAGGACAGGACGACCCACTAAGCTAATGCAACATCAATTGAAGAGAACCAACAGCCCTATTACAAAGGATGGTAAGTGACCAGGTACCTATACCCCGCGCATTTCTCCATTCAATAAGACATGCTACATTCGCTCTCCGTTAATTGCATATTCACGAATATCGTTGTGAAACAAGAGATACTTAAGGCATCCCAATACAGCCCGAGGCAATGACAGCATGGAATTTTGTTCTATCACACTATTCGCACATCCACATCACCCATTGAAAACACGATACAAATGCTCACCGCAATTCTAAGAAAGCTTACATTTCTCACCATTCTAGGCCTCGTTCATTTAGGCCTAGATGGTTTTCTTCTATTTTCTCGCATTGAGAATGGAAGCATGGTCACGATTAAGGTATGTTTCGAGCTAGCCTGGAGAACCTGTCGTCGCTTCTACTAACTGTGGTGTTACGAAGTTCAATAGCACTGAGCTCGCAAAGACAATCTACCGCTATGACCCACAGGATACCCATATCGATATTGAAGTTGCAGCCGACCTACCTACCAATCTTACGTTGGGTATCTGGAACGGTTGTCTTGAATACCGTGACGAGATCCGATGCTGGGCATACCAGGACTTGGGTCCCAATCTGGAGGACTCTCTGTTGAACGGACTTGATATCCTGACTACAAAAGTTTCAAACCTGATACCGCCGGTATATTTCGTTCTAGCTGATGCTGCATCGACTGTACTTCTCTTTTTGTGTTGTTGTGTTATTATCTGGCTTAGTCCTAGGAAAGTTGTTATATGGGGTTTGCTTATCCTTATGTTACTCTTCCTCATACCTAGTGTTATTGTGATTGTTGTTGTGTACTTGCTACGTTCAATCTTTCAAGGTATGGGATTCAGCGTTGAAGTCGGGATGGTAGGCTTGTTTGGTCTTGCTGCATTGGTATGCTCTATCCTTAGCCTCTATATTAGCTTTGTGGAAATGGTGATCTAGCTCATTGACGCCTATGAGGCTTCTTTACTAAATCTTTCACACCAAATTGTCTCCACTTAGCTGTTTTGCTTCAAGATAGCTGGGTAACAAGGAATGGCGTGGATATGGGGAACTCAGGGCATAGATACTCAAGCAATGCAATGATCAGAGGTGGGTTGACATGCTGACCATTGTTTGAGGAGCGCTATAAGGATCAAAAAGTAAATACGGAGGGCAGTGTTTCTGATCAGAATGCAGACTTCGAACACATTGGCTCCTCTTCGAGAGAATGTATGGGCCAGCAGCTATCACCATGGCAATGACAAGTAGATTTGCAACGTTGGCCATCCATTGCCGGACAATGCTTATATTTAGTGTACGCTGATGTGAGGTTGCTTGGATCTATTGCCTGATCTTGGATGTAATTGTCAAGGAGCAATGAAACGACTGATATGATGATGATAGATTGGACGAACATGGGAAAAGCAGAAGGGAAAACGACGATGAAGAAGAAAAAGAGCGGGAATTCTTTGGCCTCTAAACATCAAGCGAGGCCGAAATGCCGGAACTGGCCTGAGCGCCATAACTCGCCTAGAGCGAGATACCTAGCCGCAGCGACTTAATGGCTCATTGGCAAAATGCTGACTTTAGTCTTGTCGGGTTCCATTCGCATACATGCTTGATCCTACCCAAGAATCGCCATCACGGCTCATTGGCGGTGCCAATTGCTGCGGTTGTAGTTGATGGTCGCCTTCGGAGTTTTTGTTCAAGTCGTAGTGGCCCACAAGGAAGCTGAGTAGAAAGGCCATGCCTGCAAGACTAGTGAAGATCAAATGAACTCCTTTGAACCCGGAAGCGTAGGAGACTAGGACAGAAGATCTGTATTCTCCATCGGGCAGATTCTTCAAAGTAGTAAGATATTCCTCGGAATGGAACGCAATACTTTCCGGTAAGCCCTTCTCCCTAAGTTGCGAAGCCATAAAACTTTGATACACGGAAGAGCCGAGGTTGACCCCGATCGCTGTTCCAAGCATCCGAAAGAACAGATACATGGTTGCTGCATGACCAGAGTGATGTGCAGCAGCAACAGCGCCGGTTACGAATGTTTGAGCGTTCAGCACTAAGCCGTGACCAAGGCCGCCGACTATAAGTGTGATGACCCAGAGATAGGTGGGTGTCTCTACAGACCAATAGATCAGAAGACCAGACGCTATCGCTGTCAAAGACCAGCCGAGCCATATTGACCATCTATAAGCATTGTATCGAGTGACCAAAATTCCCGATATAATGGATCCAGGGAGTAGGCATGCCGAAACTGGAAGCATTGAAGTCCCCGCAACCAGAGGGCTATAGCCTTTGACGGAGATGAAGAATAATGGTACATAGTAGAGCTGACCGTATAACTGTTGCCTGTTAGCTGGCTCAAAGAAGACTTAATTGGCATGACCTACGATAAGCCCCTGCAAAAGGCCAAGGATATAGGTGACGATGGATGTCCTGTTGGAAAATAACACTACCTTCAAGAACGGGCACGCGGAGACTTTCCACTCGAAGTATACGGTGAAAGTTATGCCAAGGGTGCCGAGGATAATTGGCAAAAGCGTCTGAGGGCCTACCCATGGGAACCGATTACCACCCCAAGAAATGCCAATGAGAATAGCGATGACGGAAAACGTAAAGATAATTCCACCTATCCAGTCAATTCTCGCAAGTCCTTGACGAAAACCAACAACGGGTGCTCTGAGGGGAAGTAGCACAGGAATGACGATGAGGCAATAACCGCAAATAGGGAAGTTTAGGTAAAAGATCCATCTCCACGTGGTATTTTCTGCGATTGCGCCTCCAATAATAGGTCCACTCAGAGACCCAATGGCCCACGCCATCTGTCTAAAGTTGAGTAAATATGATGGAATATTTCAAGGTGGGATATGTACTTACATGATGCCATACAGCCTCGGGCGTTGTGGTAACGGGACGATGTCGGTGAATATGACCAGCGTGAGGACATACATTCCTCCTGAGCCAATCCCTTGAATTGTACGCCCTGCAATGAGAACGCCTATGTTCCCAGAGAGACAACAGACTCCAGTTCCAACAGTGAACAGAAAGGTGCTTAAGAAGAGAATGCGAGGCCGGCCGAAAACATCACTAGCTGAGCTAGTGAAGGGCATACACGCGGCACATGTGACGAGGTAAGAGGTTCCGATCCAAAATGCTTGATTCGAGTTACCTCCGATGTCTTGTACAATAGCCTGACATTCCACATCAGCAAAACTAGGATAGAGGTCGATGTTCAAGACACACGTACACTCAGTGCTGTAACAATTATGTTGGCCTCTAGAGCAATCACCAACGACATGATTGATAGACTGACCAAGATATACAGGTCGTGTCTGGATACGCCCCGTTCTCGCCTCTCGGAACCACTGCGGGCTGGAACAGTGTTTAGATTGTTGAAAAGATTCGGAGGTGGCGCCATGTTCAGGGAACTTGAATATCGACCATTTTCGAGGGATCACTATCTGGCAACGACATCTAGCCCTTATATCTGCCTGATCTTGGCTTATGGGCAACACTGAGCGTCGTCATCTCTGACGCGGCTTGGTGCGGACTTCCCTCACTAATCCTTGCCACCTTCATTTTTTCGTAGAGGTGTGATTGAAAGACTTGTTGTAATTGGAGCTTTTGCTGTGGGCACTGCCCCGACGACTGGCTTCATAATTCCAAGGGAGCTTCTCGATCTCAGCTTAGAGTTATTTTTAGATTACTTGCCCTAAGATGCATTTCACTCAGTTACATGCCCTCTAAGTCTATCGGGGTTTCTACCTTCCTTCCAACTCGCCCTGCCCCCTTTTTTTCTACACCGTCTATGATGTGGAACGGAATGTCACGATGTAGAAAGCTGTATATTTTCCGCGTGTCTAATTGCGTCATCGAGGTGCTAAGAGAAGGGTGGCATTCCAATTTCAGTATTCTCAGCCCTTTCCCTACCCAGTCTGACTGTTCAATCACACAGTGCTGCACTGGCCACATTTCGTCCGACGTAGGAAACACACAACCAATCAAAAGAGATCCCGGCAACTTTCTTTCAACTACGTCCGCCGCCTAAATTCTATACACCTCATAATCTCGGCTGCATCAAGTGCTCAACAACACCCTCACAAATTTGTTCCATGTATTTCTGCTTGTCAAAGTGCAGAATAGCGTAATCAGCTGGCTTGAAGTCGTACGTTTGGTTGGAATATGGCGCAAAGACGTCATTCATCGCGACCGTTGCGCGGTATGCTTTTCTGACAGCTGCCGCTTTTTTATCTCTGCCCGAGAGTCGCAAAGTCGCAGCCATGATGTGCAGTGGGATTCGATGGTAGATCATTTCGGATGCATGGAACAGGATGTTGCGGGGACCGATGTACCGAAATGCAGGCTGTCGAATGCCTTGTCGACGATGTTTGAAAAAGATTGTCAGCATATGGCATGCCTCCTCAAGAGTGAAGGAATTGGATGTGGTTGAGACACAGAATACGATCCGTGGTGTTTGCAGTACCACGAGTGGGCTGTCTTTAACTCGGAGCGCCTGAACGATAAGGCACAGAGCCACTTCATCGACAGGCACGAGGTCGAGTTTCGCATCGCGCTGACCGTTGACAACGCAGAGGATACCGGCGGCAAAGCCTGCGGTAAAACCTCCAAAGGCTGCTCTGCTGTCTATCCAGCCTGGCATAGGATACTTCCACGAGGCACATATAATGCTCGGGCGAACAATCGTTAAAGGTACCGAGCCTTGTTGTTCCACAAGAAGGTGCTCAGCCAAGCATTTCGATAAGCTGTAAATGTTTGGATGGCCGGTGAGTTTGATTGCCTCTTCTTTATCGAGTTTGCCTTCGACGAGGTCATGATAAAGTTGGCTCGCTGGCACCGGCAGAATAGGCAGGTTCTCGAAGATTGGTGCGGTACTGGGCGGCATAGAATACGCTGTGCTAGTGGTGACAAGTCGCTGAAGCCTCCTGCAGGCCTTGGCCAGATTTAGAATGTTCAAGGCACTCATGATGTTAGAGTTCACAGCTTCAGATGTTTCCCCGTCGAACTTGACATAACCTGCCACATGTATGATATGTGTAATGTTGCCCGTCACCCAGTTGTAGTCTTCTTTGCTGAGACCGCATAGTGGGAGTCCAAGGTCGCCATCAAATATCTTGATAGACTTTTGCCAATGGTATGGTAAGAGGGAAAAGCACTTAGAGGTAGCAGTATGTTTCACGAAACGCTCGCGGCCGTTGAGACCTTGCCTTCCCCGAACAACGAGAACGATGCTGGCAACGCTGAGCATCTGACCCTTGCGCAAGAGCTCTTCGAGTACCACCTTCCCAAGAAAGCCAGTGGCCCCTGTAAGAAGCACAGTGTTGGGATCATGTGTAGTCATGTCTTTGGTATAATAGGTGTGATTGTGGAAAGACTGAAGAAGAGGAAGACTGGAAGGCTTGTTCTGAGATGGTCAGTGATTAGAGACGACGGACTTGGGTCTTTCCAACCATATATATCGATTTCGCGCAGAGGCCTCGCGCTCTTAGGGTACAAAGATGTATCCTTACCCAAAACCTCAAGAATCCCCTGGATTTAGCGTTAATGATGTGCAGGGGGTTTCCCACTCCTCTGCCAATCACGTAAGTGCCGAAATCCCCCAACAGCATTGGTTGCTTTGGAAGATAACGGTCACCATCTCAAATTAGTCTCTCGTGGAACTTCCGGGACTGTTCCACGCAACCTGATCACGAAATGAGTCCACTCCTCTCTATCGATCGTACCACTCTTTCCAGATGGCTGCGAAAGAGGGTCACTTTCTCTCACGGCTCTCAGGGTGCCCTAAAAGCGCACACTTCCACCCACTCTATCCCAAAGATCCATCCCGTCTCTATATGCACGATAATTCTCACCGATACATTCAAACCATGTCGCCTAGGGATTTCACCGGAGGAAAAAGGAACAATCAATCAGCTGAGCTGGTATCCTACGATGCTCTTCAAAACTTGATTTGGCAATATGACACGGAACTCAACGACATCTCCAAGTCAAGAGAAATTGAGGACGAAGAGACCGCCCTGATGGTTTCGGAAGCCATTTCGAAACATGACGCAGAATATCACCAGAACATCGAAGAGCTTAGTGAGAAACACCGCCGACTATCTGAAATCAGAATGAAGCGAAGAGAGGAGCTTGATGACATCATTCATACTATAACCGAGCTGGACCTTGAAATTGAGGGAGTTCTGAAGGCCCAGGTTGAAGCGAACACTGATCTCAACCGTCAAAAATGCGAAGAGAAAGAGGCATTTGACCGATTTCAGCGTCACCTCATCACCGAGAGAGCTGCAGAGGACTTGGAACGGTCTACGACATTGATAAGGGGCATTGTACGTGGGACTCTTTCCTTTGAGTGACCGATCAAGGCTGACCAACTAGAAACGATCTCTTGGTAGTCAGTGCTTTCATGGAGGTGCTAAACGCACTCGTCAACATATGGCAGGAACGGCAGGAACTGGCACCGAAATTGCTGTCAGTGATCCCGATGGGATATCTATGGAGTCATGTGGATCTGGAAGCGACAAGACGATGGATTGTAAAGTTGCGTCAGGAACTGACTTCGAAAATGGACAGTAGACTAGTATAGTTAGCGTTCCTACTTTCCAAAATAAGAAGCTCGTAGCATGCAGTAACCAAAACATCAAGGCTTGTCTACGATCCGGTCAGTGCTTGACAAGTCGGTGTGTGGTATTACAAAAGATCTCTACCAGGACACGCCTGCCCGGCCCAACAAAGTCTCCTCTGCCGACGGGCTAGCCGCGCGTCTTTTCCAACAAAGTTCACGAGCCAGACCTCGGCAGATCCTTCATGCATGCTCCCACCCTTGACTGACAGAGTAACTGAGCTATATCGCTGTCAGTGTCATGAGTGAAAGTCTTGGTCAAGTCGTACCGTCGTGCCAGCTGCGCCGCTAGGCACTTGGGGGAGCTGGTCAATTACAAAATGGGGTTGCGTGGATTCTTCTTTATTGCGTATCTAAGTGGAGCCACTGCAGGGGTGCTGATGCAGTTGGTTCTGGGTTGTCACAACATTTCAGCTTCCTTGGCCGCCAGCCACACGCTAGTTACCAGATTCCCGGGACCAATCATATTCATCTCCCAATTCTCCACACCACCTACATATCAGTAAATTTATGGAAGCGAATTATGCGTCATTAAGCTTTGCAGCCCTTGATGTGGAGAGGAAGGGGATGAACCAGAGGTCCAGAGGAGGCGATGACCTCGAATCCAGTTGTGACAGCCTTCGTAGCTCCCCAGACCTTTGTCGTAGGGCCGCGCGTCTTTACCAACATTGCCTCCACGACCTTCCGTTGGTTGACAACTCCGGCCACAAGGATTACATGTCAGTGACATGGCACTGTCTCCTTCCTTCCCGTCATTGCTGTCACTCAATGAGAGCATATACGGGTGAAAGACGATACATGATCAAGTTGTTCGCGTTTCATGCTCTCCTAAGTGCCTCGCCATCACCTCCATTCGGCTACATACATAACAACAATAGACGCATCTCATCTCCATTATTGTTTGCTGGTTGGGATGAATTGAATATTCCATATTATGGCTCCGTGAGGGGTCGGTCAATTGTTGCGTCAAAGTCGTCTGCCACTGCATCAGCGCTAGCATCAAATATTCCTCAGGCCATGGCGATTCTGAACTCAACCAATTACAAATAGCACCTACAAGAAACGAGGTCTCCTCTGTCTGCAGCCTATCGTTGTTGCTGTGCTTTGAACTGTCTGAAGAAACATGGGTCATTTTGATCGTTGCCGGTATCATCATCCAAGTTCAAGATTACATGTATCACAGGATAAAAAGATGAAGCTGGTGGTGAATCAAAAGGTCTGATGGATCTTGAGAGAGCTTTGGTGGAAGAATGAAACGATTTGAATAGCTCAAAGGTAAGGTGAGAAAGGGAGTTGATGAAGAATGGCAAAAGGGTAAGACTTGGCTAAGTAACGCCCAGATCAATAAGTGGGCTGGGTGTTAGGTTCCTTACATCGCATCAACTCGGCCATCCTCAGGAAGGTTGAGATTGCGGCACAGGGCTGAACATGCAGCCTTCCAACACGATAGCGCCATCTTTGGTGTGGTGCCCTTCCAGACCAAGACGAGTTGAAATCTGGCCGAATGCAAACGTAAACTTCCATTTTGGGACTGTTGGGGTGAATGTGTGGTCTGGGTGAATGCAAAGATCCTTGGAGGGGTGACGTGACTATGCAAGACTACTCATGCGGCTAACTGTTGAAGATTTGTATGCCCGATCCTGATTCGCTCTGGGCAACCAGAAGCGAACCGACGTTGAATTGAGTTTAAGCGATGGAGGAAGCTTACAACTACATCCATTCAATGGAGGTTATACGAAAACGAGTGTTGAGCAAGTGAACGACTGGATAAGAAAGAGCACACAAGTCAACGCTAGTGCCTCCTTTGCGAACTACTTAGACTAGGAACCCCTGAAACCTTGTTGCTGCCCAGCCTGATTGATCGCTTCCAAGTCATTCTCTGACAGAGAAAAAGTAGTCACACGCGAAACAATTTCCTTCATCCGCTGCTCCTGAGAAGTGGTTGTGATGATGACTATGTCCTGTTCCAGACCCCAGCGCAGGCCAACGACAGGCTCACTGACTCCGTATTTTGCGGCCATAGTACTCCAAATACTTGGAATAAGGCCGTCAATAGTCTGAGTGAGCGGAGTCAAAGTGCCGTAGGCGGCAACCGCAATGTGATGCTTTCGATGAAACTCGAGAAGGTCATTTTGTTGAAGATATGGATGGTGTTTGATCTGATTGATAGCAGGAGGAATTATGGCTGTTTTGAGAACAGTTTCGAGGTGCTTTTGGGAGAAGTTGGAAACGCCAATTGATCTCGCCTTTCCAGATCTCTTTATGTCCTCAAAGTCGGCCCATGTCTCTTGAAGTTTAATGTTCGAACCAGCATGGAAGGGGCTGTGGATGAGATATAGGTCAACATATTCCAGCGCCATGCGTTTCAGAGATGCTTCGATCGCTTCCTTGGGGTTGGTATGGAAGTTGAAAAGTTTGGTGACGATATAGAGGGTCTCTCTGGGAACACCAGCAGAGTTGATGGCAAGGCCTAACTCTTCTTCATTCCCATCGACTAGAATACCGATACGTTAGCATTAACGGATTATTTGTGACGCTGAAGAAGTAACCAACCTTCAGCACTGTCCAGATGTCTGAAACCGGCTTTTATGGCTTGAGTGGTCAATTTAACAATGATTTGATTAACTGGCATGCCGTTTTCCTTGAAGTCGGCAGTCCCTAGTCCATACGCTAGCTTCGAATGAAGGCATCAGTAAAATTGGCTTGTTCAACTTTACAGAGACTTACCATTGGGATCTCATTGCCGTCGTTGAGCTTTAGACGTGGGAGAGGCAGAGACTTTTCCTCGCCATGGAGATCCAGCTCGAGCTGATCAGGAGTCGACGACATGATAACTTGGATGCTCACACTCGACGTGAAGATTACATGACTGGCTGTGGAAGCTTTTAAGCATAGAATCGAAAGTAGACATCTCATTTCTGAACGGAGCGAATCACCGAGGAACTTGATGCAAATACCTGGGCAACTAGTCGAAGCTGCAAATTAGTCAAAGCAGGGAGGGAGGACACGTATTCAATTACGCAAGCTGTCGGCCAGTTTCACACCAATACCAAGATCGGGGATTTGTCACCTACATCCCAAATCCATGGGCGCAGCGCTCTAGGCCAACTCTGAGATTCGTAAAGAAACCCCTTTTTCACACATGCGCTGAAAGTATTTCATGATAAGAACGAAGGAATCCAAACCTTTGCCTCTTAACGCCCTTGAATGGACACAAAACCCCAAATTGAATCATGGACAGAAACGGGGGACAACCCTCTTGCCATCATTTGCGACGGCAGCCACGCATGCAAAGTCTAGCTCACCACGCTTCCTCAGAAGCAATACTAGCTATGCAGACAGACATCTTTGGTTCGGATCAGAAGAACCTTGTTCATGCTCCAGTCCCAAATCGTCGCGACCACAAGACAAGCTTCTGCGATGAATCAGCGTGGCAAACGGGACATTCTGAGCTTCCTTTGCAAAACGACCCGACCCATTCTTTACTGGACAGCAGTATCGTGAGTGCTTTGAGTACAGTCAAACCTGCTGTGATCTGAAACTAAGTCTATAGGAACAACGAAAACAGTTTCGGGACGCATTTGATGTGTGCTACGGAGATAGTCCGATGTATGAAACCTTTCGCAAAAAGATCGAGGCTTTTATACAGGAGTTTGAGAACATTGTTCGAGCCATGGACAAGATGCATGGCGAAATAAGAGAAACACAGCGAGCTCTACACACTGCCCTAACTGAGAAAGATCTCGCTATTTCTCGACTTTACATGGCAAGCTCGGTTAGGTGCCAACCTCAAAAGACGGGAGATAGCCATAACTTCTTTTAGACAATTTAGTCCCAACACATTCCTTGACTGTCACACCCAAGTGCATTAGCAAAAAGGAAAGATACCGCCTGGCTATACATAGTATCACTTGAGTCAATGAACGCAAATATACAATGGGGTAGTATTCTCAGTGGCAGTGACCGACTTGGACTGTCCAGATTTAGACACTAAGCCAAAAGTTGGATGACGCGTACCCGCGCTTCAGGGGCCAAGGATTCTGTTTAATACGATTTACGCCACATTGATAAAGTCTCTCCTTCCCATTCCGTGGTTCAATCCAAGAAAGTCTCCTTCAACACATCATCCAGTCCCCTTCAGTCTGACTATTATCCACTGCTCAGGTCAGGCAGTCATTTGATGAAGAATGAAGCAAACTAAAGTAGGAAGAACACGCTCTAGCACAACGACAAAGAAGCTCGATTCACCACAGGTTTTACCTCACTTGACAGTTCAAACGGACTTGAAAATGCAAAGCAACGTGAGTGATCTGTTTAACATGAGTTGTGTTTTACTAAATACCCCTTAGCAGGCTGTGCCTCCCTCTCTCCCAAACGATGTCACTTTCGTGGACCATCTCGACTACCAGCTCTTTACTATGGGCGAGACCATCAGCGCATGTCGCACAGAGCGTAATGCTCAAAGGGCACTGCTAAGCCGAGAGCAGCAAGCACGCGGGGGTTTGGAACGAGTCATCACAAACATTCAACAGGAACTTTCGTTGACAAAAGCGAAACACTCGGATCTCTATAATCAGCATTGCCGACTCATTAAGCAATACGAAGAAGTCCAGTCCTCCCACAAATTTGTTCATGATCAACTCCATCGCGAGCTCATTGACGCGAGAAATTTGGTCACTAGGCATAAGGAGCGCATAAGTGCCTGCGAAACGGAGGTGAACGATATGCATCGCAAGCTAGAAGAACAACATAAGGTCGTCAAGAATCAACAAAACGCCATGCAAGAGTCTTTCAATCGGGATCAGCATCGCTCTCCTGAATTCAGAGACGAGAGGTCTTTTGGAAAAGATGTCGATTCCTTGATCGAATCGCCTCAGCTTGAGAGTAAATGTGGTGATAAACCAAAACGCTTAGCGATGGAGATAGAGGGGTCCTTGGAGGTGCCGAACATCAAGAGACCTAAAACAGAGTAGAGATGGTCACTGTTTTCTTTTCCTTATTGCCCATCCCCCAATCCCCGTTGCTTTCCGGCCTTTCAATTCATAGTGTATCGAATCGAGTTTATTTTTACGCGCATCCCACGCTACATCCGTGAATTCCGTCTCACAGGTTTACCAGAGCAGCACTTAGCGAAACGGACGGCGGAGGGTTTCGTCCGTATGTAACAGTGTCATGTGACGGGCAGAGTCTGCTGTTTCTCATGCTGTTGGTTCAAGGATGTGTGAAGGTGGCGTCAGGGTGTACAGATTCTCCACCTCACGCTAGGGGATTGATACATATCACATTGACAACACTGCTGTGCCGTATTCGCACATCAGTAGCTTCATGAACCAACAGCGGTCCAACAGGTCTTGCAATCATCGCTTGCAAATTCGGCACTCAACACTCATTTTGTTTGAAAAACTTGGTCTGTTCTAAATCAAGAAGCTAAGCCAAAAGTTGACAAATGCGATTGACGATGTAAGGCTGGGCGGCTTAGCCTTGAATCCTTTTGCCATCCCCACCACCATCGCCGAGCCAGAGAATTGATGCTCAATACCCATTGGATCGGATAGAGACTTATATCAAATTCCGGAAGCCGAGCTTCTGGTGACGTGGCCGTGATAGAGCATCTACATCATCAAGACATTGCGCGAGTACATGCGTTCCCCTGCCATTCCTAGTGCATTTACTTGAGTCAATACCAGAATCCGAAAGCCTACTTCCGCCGATCCTTCCGCACTATGGAATGCCGCGTAACAGTGCGGGCTCTAAGAATCAAGATTCCAGAGAGGAGCAGAGAAAGGTACAGCTCTTAACTTGGCGGCCATGACGATGGGTTCGAAGACTCTAAGCATTTAGACGGGAGTTTACATTCGTTGATAACTGACTACGGGTCTAGACAATGGCTGAAGAAGCCAGTCATAGTTTACTATACCCCTCACAGCTTCGACCGAGTCGCTCACAGTTACGACCTGAAATAATAAGCCTCAAACCAAACATACTCTGGGGCCTAAGAACTTTAGAAGCTTACAATGCGGTTTACTTTCGTCACATTTCTTCCCCCTCTTCCGACACGTGAAACAACCAGTTTTCGTACGAGATACCACCTTTCGCGTGGATTTGTGGTGCAGATGTCGAGAGTCAACCGACTGAATAGCTGAAGATAAGGCCTGATCTTTCTCACATAGATCTCGTAGAGGAGGGAGCGACTCTGTTTTGCGGTCTGAAAACACGAGGTCAGGCCAAGCTAGCCCCGTATGTTTTCTGCCTAAGTGTCCACTTTGTCCAAATTTACAATGTTTGGTGACGCTCCTTGCTTGTCGTTGAGTCTCTCGTAGCTGACGTTGAGTCTCTTTCAACTGACGTTCGGTCTCCCTCAACTGGCGTTGAGTTTGTTTCAGTGATGCCAGGTTATGAGGTGGCTGGTACTGCATAAGTCGATATTTTGCCCGCTCGATTGGCGACATGTCTTGTGCATCAACGTCGCTTCGGAACTTTTCGCTGTTATATGACTGGCTGATCAAAATCTGGGTGGTCTTGGGTAACCTGTTCGAGTTCAAAGGCTTATATCCATTTCTTTGCGCTTGAATGAACGCAGAGTTATTGAGCTCAGCGAGTGCTGAGTTACAATTGTGGACTTTGATGCCTAGATGCTCGACTGCTTGCCTGATTTTGACTTTCAGGTTGCCATGCTGCGAGCTTTGAAGATGCCGCGTTGCTCCCTTGACAGGATTTTCGCCAAAGTGGACACCATGTCTCGGGCAGCATAATATGTACCACAAATCTGAACCCTTTGGGAATTCGATGATTTTGTGCTTGTATCTAGCATTTCCATCCTGGAAAATGTCTTTGAAGTCTGTGGATTCTGGTTTAGGGGCCTTAACATTGGTTAGTTACGCTATGTTCCTCGATAAGCTTCAAGACATACTTCAATATACATAATAGATGTCTCTTGCCCTTTTTCAAAAGACTGTAGTTGTGTATTCTAGGGCACAATTAGTGGTGGTGCAACCGAGGCACAGTCGAACGGTTTGATGGCGAGAGAACAATGTGTTTGGGATAGTTCCAATGGGCGGGTAAAAAACAGGAATTCTTACGTCGACTCAATAGGTACTGCACCACTGCACCATTCATTAGTAGTTTCTTCATTTCTATTTCTGTCACGACCCCTTCGAATCAATAGTGATTTTCTGACTTCGGCCACGCAATGCACTGTTGACCAAACCATGAGTAGTTTTGGGGCTGACGACGCCGGTAAAGGATCGGCCAAAGGCTGTGTGTGCTGGCCCTGAAATCCAAAAATAGCTTCTCTAGTGCCAATAATAGACTCCGGTTGAATGCAAGTGTTTTGCGAAGAATTGCCAACAACTGACTCTGTCCGCTACAATAGTCCCCGTCAGCACCTCCTTATTCGAGGTCCATTTATGAATTTGTCTCATGCCTCTTGTATACGAGTTGCTCTCACCTGGGTACTAGTTTTCTGTTGATTGAGTTCAAAATTCTGAATCTGTTTATCTCTTAAACCAAGACGCCTCTGATGTATCCCATCAAACCTTTCCTAGCTGCCTTCCTAGCAGCCGGCATGACCGCCGCTTCATCATCAAGCACTACGGGAACCATGACTGCGTCACGTACAAAGCGGCTTGTAGGCGCGACGCACACAGTCACAGCCGGCCTCAAGGGCCTCACTTTTGATCCTGATAATCTTGTCGCGGAGGTTGGCGACATTATCGAATGGCATTTCTTTCCTAAAAACCACTCTGTTGCCAAATCTGATACGTACGATCCCTGTGCTCCAACAAGCGACGGTTCGTTCTTCTTTTCTGGTTTCGACTTCGTTACCCCGGAAGGACCGGCCGATAATGTTTTTCAGATCACCATCAAGGATAAACAGCCCATTGTACGTCTGTCTTGCTAATCAGTATGATGGAGGTAGAAACTGACAATCTTTCCAGTGGTACTACTGCGCCCAAAACGCCGGCCAGCACTGTAAGAATGGCATGGTTGGCGTTATCAATCAGCCACCCGTCAATGATGCCTTCCACCTCGAAAAGCACAAGGCGCTAGCTGCTCAGAAGAACGATTCTATCATCCCACCTAGTCAGAAGGGTGGCGTAGTCTCAAGTCGACCCAACGATATCACAGGAATCACGGAACGGAGGATTATCAGCCGTGGCAGTTAGCAAGCAGACTGCTTAAGATGTCTTGAAAGTGGCGTCAAGCTTTCCATCACCAGGCGTGGTTCAGGCGAATTCATCAAAAGGACAAGACTTTTGTTGTCGGATTTTACAGTCTCTATGTAGTTTTCATTTCGTTCCCGATTCTTTCAGACAATATACACAGTCCGATCTAAGATTCTTCTAAGTAAAGGCCAATCTTTTGCATCCGTCAAGATCATGGCACGCGGTAATGGGCATATGGAACGGTTTACAAGTGGCTTGAACTAACCTATTAAAAACGAGGAAAAGAGAGCAGTCTACATATTTAACAAATGGAAGATCCACGTGATAAGCACATAACCGAGTGCCTAACGAGTGCTAATAACATTCCCGTTTAGTGTCAGTATTCTCCATCGACCTCTGCTCACGAATAAAGCCCGCCCAATCCGTATATCAGAAAGAAAATTTGATCCAGAAGTACCGGCATAGCTGTTTGAGATGACAATCATGCTGGTAGGCTACCAATTTCTCGGAGTATCTCTACTTAGACATAAGCATCCTCAAGAGCTCACGGTTCTCAATTCTATCTCGTTTTCTCTCATGCCTTTCTCGTTCCCTCTCCTTCTTTTCTTCCAGAGATAGCATGAAAAGCTTTCCTAAGATCCCAGTTTCTTCATTCGATGTTGAACCGATGCAGCCGCTTCGCAGCCGGTGGCTTGCCGAATCCTGGATAGCTCGCGGGAACTGGATTTCGAGATACTCATTATTATAACTTGGGTAGGTAAGCTGTCCCAGCTGGGGTGCCCACGGCGGCTTCACGCACTTTTGGACGAGGAAGTTATCAATGACTTTGTCCGCAAACTTGGGTCCAATCCAAGCTCTCAAGGCCGTCCGCGACATGATGATGGGCTTTTCTGTATTGGTCATTCCTTTTCGCTCAACCCAAACATATGTTAAGAAGCTGCCAGGTTCGTTCACGTAGGCGACTCCACGGATACCATCGAACTCATTAGCCTTCACATACTTGTAAATGCGTTCCTGGTGCGAGATGTTGTTCTTATCCTCTTCTGGAAGCGAATGATAAAGTGCAATCGCCTCGTACCCAAGCTCGCTTCCAGATACTAGCTGAATTGGATTCGGCTTATCGACTTTAACCACGAACTGCGAGGCAAATGGTACCTTTTTCTCACTTAGTCTGTCATATCGCTCTTTGATGCTATATCCGAGAATCCTATCTCCGAACAGCGTATAGCCTGCCTTCGATGGAACGATTGGCTTAGGTCTAGTCGGTTGGACTTGTTCATTCGCCTCTATGCCGTTTGAGGACTCCAAGTCTGAATCGTTATCCAAGTCGATACTCGCGTCCATGTCAATGTCTGAGCTGAACTGGTCATAGAAATCTTCCATCTCCTGGTCCTCATGCACAGTATCGTGACGTCCACCGGTTTTCTTGCCTTTATCTGAGCCGTTTCTTATTTCTTTTTCGCCGCTTTGCCGATATTGATCTGATTTTCCACCCTGCTGTTGCCTCAGATCAGCTATCTTTGCCCTCAACGGCTCTACTAGCTTCTCAGCCCAGGAGACCGGCCATTGATTCATCCGTTGGCTACAGCGCTTCGCAAAGTCCGATTTGAGCTTAGAGATTTTCTCATCTGCCTCGTTTGCGTTTGATACGTCATTCAATAGGGCTTCGGCTTCGTGTCTGGTCATTTGAAGCACTCCTATACTGACAGTGTAATAGTCCTCGAACACTTTGTTATGCTTGTTTACCTTGTTGATCTTCCTGTTCATTTTCGCGACCTTGCCAAAGTCCTTTCCCATGCTATCTTTGCTCTGGACATTTTGGAGTATTCTGATCACGCTTTCGTCGAACCGTTCGTGGTAAGCTGCAACCTCAGGAGGCCTTTCTGGTACATCATTGTCGTCGAAGACAATTGCTTCGTCATCATCACTAGAATCTTCCTCCTGTCCGTAAGCGTTATCGTGGAATTCCTCGCCTATGTCTGGCTCAGGCACTTGCTTCTTCCCGTTGGTCTTCAGTGTCCGATCGTACTCCTTTCTCTTTCTTTCATCTAGTAGAGTCTCTTTGGCTTGGTTTATCGCTGTTCCATGGTTAGACTCTCGCTGATCTCACTTTAAGGGTTTGAATCTCACCTTGCATGCATCTGTCGGAGTCGGGGTCTTTGATCTTGTCCGAGTGGACATACATTGCCATTTTATGATAGGCTTTTCGGATGTCAGATGCAGTGGCGTTGGGTTCGATCTCAAATATCTCGTAATATGAGGCCTCAGACTGTAGTTTCTTCAATGTAGATGTGACAGCCTCCCTCCTCTCCCTCTCACCTACGGCTTTTGGTCGAGTTATACGCACCAGTTCTTTCTTACGCAACTGTACTGCCGAGTCGAAACATTCCCTAAAGAGAGCATCGTCACCACTCACGATGATTTTGTACACCTCCTCTTTGCGTTGAGTTGACCATGTTTTTTTTTCTGTACCCTTTACCCTCGTGATAATCCGTGATATCATTAAGGACCGTAAGTCATCCATTTCACTTTTCTTTTTGGCCAAGAGAACTTTGTCGGTAGGGTCTTTGACATCAGACAGCATCTTATGGATGAGTCTGACGATAAGTCCAGTCTCCATCAACGCAGCATCATTGACAGCTACATCCTCAAACCGAATCACTGGGTAAGCTGCGTTTTTGACCAAGTTCTGAGCATCAGTCTCCTCGTCGGGAGGGTCGTAGGCCTCTTTCGAGGTCGTCTGGGGAGGTGGGGCTGGGTCTAGATTCTGCTTCTCCTCGGGACCGCTAGTAGATCGTGCTGGCTCTGTATTGCCACTTTGTATGTTATTGAGTTCGTTCAGCATTTCTTGGTTGGCGTCTGCCTTTGCTAAAGGCATATCAACGGCATCAGCCTCATGGTCGGACTCCGCAGATGCCTGGCGTGATTTAGATAGTTTGAGATTGGGTAAATTGACAGACATGATCTTGAGTTATTGTCGATGCTTCAAGATGAGCGTGAGTGAAGGAGCTGCGCGATGGTACTTTTAAGTGCGCACCGCCAGGCTTGGTCAAGTTTTGGCCGTTAGTCATTTATGGCCTCCGTTTATAATTGGCTGCGTCCTAATTGCGCCCTCGGCACACCGCGTCCAATTTTGGTGTGGGCCCCAGCTCGTCGTTCTTGAGAATCTTCTATTTATGGATGTTACACGATTAGGGGCTTCATTACCACTCTGCCCCCCATAATATAAACTCATCAGTGCATGTGCACGATCGAGGAGGTCTTTCTATGCGCTGCTGTGTCAAGTGATGTTAGATATTGTAGCCTCAGGTCGGCCAGGCCCACCTTTCACCTTCGTACTAAGCCTTTCACAGCAACATATAAACTGACGCAATTCATATTGATACCAACCATACTTTAAATTTGCCTCAACTAAGAGTACAGCAACTGATATAGTACAGCCTATCTGGGCGATCTACCATTTCTTGATCAGGATGCACTACGGTTGACTATCATTCTCCGGGTGTGAATAACGTCGTGACCCTTCACAAGGTGGCACTCCAAGCCCTGTGTTGTTTTGGAGTCGGCTTGTCACAAGCGATTGCTTTTGTGTATGGCAAAATAGGAGAGAAGAACTTTGGCGCACCCTCCTGTAATCAAATAAAGTCCGCGGTCTAGACCGAGGGTCTAGGAACTACGAGCACATTCGCCGTCCCGGCGCGAAGCGGTTTCCATCCTCATAGCTTCTCCATGATCGAGCGAAACAACACTTTGACTGGTTGAAGCGGACGGCAAGCAATTCGAGAAGGTACCGCTCGCCGTAATCTATCTAGACGTGGACGATGTATGCCGAGGCAAAGCACGCTTTCTAGCGGCGGACTGATGACTCATGTTAGATACAATGGTTCAATTGGGTATCAAGGGTAGTAAACTGTCTCTCTTTCTTTTCCTCTGAAGCTTAGAAGCCTCTCGTAAAGCTGCGACGGTCATATGAGTTATCACGTGGTGACTGTAGATGGAAAGTGCCCTTTAGGGGTACAAATATGGCCTAATTTTGGGACCGCAATCAATCTTCCTCTGTCTTAATCTTCTTCCGTGTGCAATCTTCTTGCGTATTCAATCTTACAGCCCCAATCATGTCTCAAAAAAAGCCCAATATGCACACTGTCCCAGACAGTTCGATCGATCTACTCAATGCGTATATCACTCAACCCCACAATCAACAGCGAGAAATCGAATGGCTTCGATGTATCGTTTCATCTCAACAATCTTCTTATCAAGCTCTCATGGATAAACACATCAAAACACACCAGACAATCATCACCAATAGCAGCCAGACTCTCTCGCTTGTGTTTTCGAGACTTCAGCTCGATAATCGCCAGCTACATAGACACGCATCGGATGGCGATTATCACGATAAACCTGTGAGACATAACGAGTGATCAAGAAGGTGTCAGTGGTGAGCCAATTCTTGGGTGTGCGCTGGCGAACCCAAGAGACACTCACAAGCTGGCGGCAGTTCTATCCAGGGACTCATATCTAGCGTTCAGATGGATCAAGAAGCCTGGTGGACTGGTTTTGCACAATACAGAATTGTTAGATCATTAGGCCCTGTATACGAATCATTTTGCCCACGTCTATGAGTGAAAAAAGTGCTTTGGTTTTGTTAAATTGTAAAATCACAATACAGGAACAACGTCCGTTGCTCATCGTGGCCTGGCATCGACCAATCGTCGCTGGTATGGGGCGACCGAAAACTTCCTGGGAAGTTATCAGCAGGGGTACACCTCCCCAAATGTAGCCGTTGTTGGTGACTGAAGTCAGATGCGAGCCAATCGTCGCTCATTTTTACGAACGAAAACTTTCTGAGAAGTTGTCAGGAGGGAATACGTCTCTTTGCGGATATCAACGATCGCACCTCGTAGAACACCGCCACTAGGTCAGCTTATTTGACCACGAACTGACAAAGCCGAAGTCATGAACTCTGCTATGGTCGAGTTTCTGGGACCGCAACAGTGAACTGAGGCAACACGAAAATTTGACCGGCGCTGTTGGACTGTTGGCCACATTCTCATGTTGAGGAGTGCCAAGCATTTCTGCACTAAAGACGTAGTACCTTTTACCAGCAGTTGGTGGTTCGCCAAAAAAACCAGGCCCATCCCTGCGGAGCGGCTAGGCTGGACGCATTGACCTATCGGAACATGGCTGCCCGGCTCCGACGAGCAATACTAGGCGATTGTCACCTCCAGACGGAGCATCCGTTATTCTTACAGCGATGACCCATGTTTGGAATTACCAGGGGGCGCTGAGCAGGGATTCCAATTGTTATTTAGCTGTCGCTTTTCGCCCCTCAAGTCCAGTAGATACCTACACTGAGGTATAACGCCGGGGGTTTGTACTAACCCAGCGCCCCGACTATTATCCGACCGAGCAATGTCGAATCTAATACCAAGAATCTTAGCACTGGAGGCAGCACTCCAGCAGGTTACTGACGTCATCTCGCGTATTCAAACCTCCACCATTCAGGAAAAGATACGATGCCACGGCCAGGAGGAAAGCTCATCTCCAGCGCCGCCTTGGGCCGATGAGCTGGCAATCCTATTGGCTCAAGCCTCTGCAAAACTTGGGGATGTCAAGGAAGAGGTTTCACGCTCAGCCCCCAGCGGTGAGAGGGTACCATGGGATGGCGCTTCTGCAGCTGTTTCCTCTCTGCAGCCAGGATCTGTGGACACTTCCCAACGACCGGCAGGGCCTCCAACACAAGCAGCATCTCCCGCCTATGCCATGCAAGTGCCATTTCCGTGTTGGATACAGCAAAGTGCGTCCACCTCTCAAGGAGAACAGCCAGGAAACGATCTACCGGCTTCGAGTTTGGCGGAGAATACTTCAAGCGCCTCGAATTTGACACCGCTCCCTTTGGCATACGATAATGAGCGCCCGGCTTTGAGTATCGACCAAGTTCTGGGGACAGCCAATGAGTTACCATTGGCGGCAACCTCCCCGAGCTCAGCAGAGCCGCATTCTATATCAAAGTTCAGCTTGGCTGTCGCTGATATGGGGCACAAATTCACAATAAATATTGCAAAAATAATAGGCGATGGTCATTTTGACGGCCACATCCGTATAGAGGGCCTTGAACCCATCGACTGGAGTAGGCTCGCAGCCAGGGCCAATGAGCCAAAGTATCGTGAGCAGCTCGCAGTTGAGTACTCCAGTGACCCGGTCGTCAAAGGATGCTCGCGTCTCAGGTTATCAAGCTCTGCAGATTTCAAATTTCCAGGTTTCCTGGATTATCCACAAGCGCCCTCAATTGAGGAAATGTGGAATTACCTGGACGGACTGGCCAATGATCCGCCGAAACAGAAGATACCTTACTACGTCGGTCCCCCGCTCACCGCCGACTTCACCTCCTTGCTCCATCCAGGTGAGGAGCTTTTGCAATTGCAAGTCATTGAAGGTGTGAACACGGACTACTGGCATGTCGGCGGTAGAGGATCAGGGACTGCCTGGCATGTAGAAGATGCGCAATTCCGATCATCCAATCTCGTTCTGTTCGGATGGAAACTCTGGATTCTCGTTGACGACAGTCACACTACAATCTTTGAGGATTTTGTCCGACGACATTGGAAAACCAATCACTGTGCGCAATGCGTGCGTCATCTTTCACTCTTCATCAGCCCAACAATGCTTCAGAAGGAAGGAATCAATTTCCAAATCAAATGTGCTGGGCCTGGAGACATGATCGTCACTAGCCCGGGTCAATATCACGCCGTCGTGAACTTCTGCGACTGTTTTGCCGTGGCGATCAACTTTTTGCTCCCGGGGGAAGAGGTTATTCCCGGGAGCATTCCCGTATGCAAGCAGTGCGGATTATTTCCTCTGGAAAACCAGGGGCTGAGAGAAGTCTCTTCCCCGTTGGCGGAAGACGAGACAAGACGCCAAATGTTCATCAAGGAGAAAAGCAAAATGAAATCAACGAGACATCCAGCCCAGCTAAGGCCGATGAGGCAGCAAGCCCAGCTTAGGCCGATCAAGGAAATGTCAAAGGAGCCTGCGATGTTGCGCCGGAAGAAGAAGCTCAAATTACTCACTAAAGCCCCTTCACAAGGCTCGGGGAACCAGGAAATAGAACAGGCCTGGGATCAGATCACGAAGGTCGATAAGCTATGCAGCGTTCTTCCGTACATCGCACAGCTTCCGAGCCCTGTAGTC